AGGGCCAGGGAGGGGAGCGCCAGGCAGCACAGCAGGTCCGCCACCGCCAGGTTGAGAAACCAGACCGTGTTCACCGTGCGCTTCATCTTGCAGCCCGTCACCCAGATGACCGCCGCGTTCCCCGGCACGCCCAGCAGGAAGACGAGGATGTAGAGCACCAGCGACACCCACAGGATGGGGGACACCTTGACAGGCTGCGGCGACGGCGTGCCGAAGTCTATGGGCGCGGTGAAGTTCAAATTCTTATAGTCATAGTCATCTGAGTCGTCGTAGGCGTTCATTCTCCACCAGCCTCGGAGTCCTACAAACAAGCAACACAAGACGCACTCTAGTCAGATTGCACCAGAACCGCAGGGGTGCGTTCAGACACAGCTCCCGACTGACCTGCGGAACTCACCGCCACATGATCTCTCTCCAGTGAGGAGTTTAGCGGGACTTTACAGCAAGGACGTTTGTACCCACGGGACCACTTGGCGTCCTGCTGGGAGGGACGCGGGACTAGGATCTATACGAACTGACCGGTGCTGGGTGTGGGGGGAGAACCGCTCCCTGGCTCTTTGAGGGCCCTGCTGCAGGCGGGATACTCTGCCAGATGGGCTGTGGCTTCATCCATGCTAGGGAAGAGCAATGTTTCCCCCTCGGCATGCCGCCCCTCCAGGAGAGTTTCAAATGCCACCCAGCCAATTGGCAGAGTGCCCACCCCCTGCACCACCAGAGTCTCTTGGTGGTGCACACCTGCACATGCCTTGGCGCACAGAACAAAAATGATCCCGCACATGGATGGAAAACATTAGTGGGAACATTGGCGGGCACCCCAGACCTTGGCTGAGTGGCTGTGAAGTCTGAGGGCTCATCCCCATCCCTACCCCCCAAAATCCTGCTCTGGAGAACATTCCTGGTTTGGGGATGGGACTTGAACCCCACAGCCCATCCTGCAGCCGCCAGCATTCGCACTGGGCCGGCTGCCTGCAAGCACCCATGGGGGGGAGAACTGAGGTCTCCAGTCCACGGGGGGCTAAGGGCCTGGCCCGAGCAGCTTCGTGTTCTGCCCCGGAGCGACCCGGTCGCAGGGCGACTGCACATCGGAGCCCGTTGCCCAATGTGGCTTCCTGCCCATGACAAAACCGCAACGCTGCGCAATCCGGGCCGAGAGGAAAAAACAACCCTTAGTTATAAAGCCTCTTTCCGGGCCAGGGCCCTGCGTCGCAGGGCGACTGCACATCGGAGCCCGTTGCCCAATGTGGCTTCCTGCCCATGACAAAACCGCAACGCTGCGCAATCCGGGCCGAGAGGAAAAAACAACCCTTAGTTATAAAGCCTCTTTCCGGGCCAGGGCCCTGCTCAGGCCCTGCGCTGCAGCCCCCCTCGGATGGGTGCCGGCTGCTGCACTGCCTCCGGACCAGGCCCTGAGCCAAAGGGCAGCGATCGGGCACCGCTCCGGTTCACGGCTTCTCCCCCAGACAGGGGAGCGGGGGTGG